CACTGTATTCAGTTCTCACCCAAAGGCAAAAGGTTGGAACAAAACTTAAATCTTTTGCTTTTAAACTTAGTAAAATTACTGCTTCATAAAAATGAGTATTTGAGGCATTCACAATGAGACCACCCTGCAGACATCACTTTCTGTGAACAAGAGGAGGAGGGTGTAGTCGTTGACTCTGAGAATCACCCAGAATCATGTCCAAAACTTAGCACAGACTGCCGTGGGTACATCCTGACACCTGAACTAGCTGCAGAGTCTTCCTCTTGCTGCTGCTTTCTCCGTGGTACAGCTCACACCCGTTCCTGTCCACACAACCACGTTCATCCAACCAACTTGGCATCTGATTGTCAGGCGTAGCTAAAAGGGTGGAAGTTTATGAGCCACTTCAGAGAGGTTTGTTTCCATTTTTTATTGGATTACTAAACTGAAACTTCCCCTCCAACATCTACACACACGTTTAGCAAAAGCAATAACGTGTGAAGCAGCTTTGAGAGTTAAGCGCCCACAATCTGCTCTTTGGTTCTTTCCACCTAACCACAAAATAAATCAGGAGGGAAAAGGGCTGATCACAGGGTTAACAGACACTGCTCTGACCCCAAGATGGTTCAAATTCTGGAGCTGGTAATAGCTGTCAGGACACAAAGCAGTATTTGTATCAGCTTTGCTTCTCACCTCACCAAGTAACACATCCCTACTCCCATGAAAGGAACCCAGCAAAGACCTGCTGATATTTGCTGCAGGAACTTTACCTCCTGCACAACATCTTTTGAACTATGCCTCTTTCAGTCACAATATTTTGTATCATCTCTCAAGGACATAGTCAATGTCTGCTCAGCTAAATCTGGGGATTTCCAAGCTCCTGAGTCAAATTCCTGCTTTCACAGCTCTTTGACTCGTGTAATTTCTCTGTGGATATTCCAGAGCCAGCCTGAACTAGTATTGAGGACAAATCAATTTATTCCATGTGTGAGTAATAACTCCAACAATCATGTTTTAAATCCCCTGCCCCTTTGCTCGTGCAGGTTGTTACAGTCCTGATTGGGATTTGTAAATGGACTCTAAACCCATGAAATTTAGGGGTGGAAATGTTCTAGTAGGAAAGAGGAGCCTCACCCATCCTAGCCACTCACAGTTTGACTCTAAGCATAGTGATATTGATATTTATTGTGGTGCCCATTCAACACTCCTTACAGCAAGCCAACAACCTGTACCTGTTTTCTCTCATGGATGTGATGTAAGCAGCCATTTCAAAGGGTGTGTTTTCTGACAGCATGTTTTAAAACCACTTAGTCCATGTCCTGCCCTTTTTTAAGCAACGACTTGGCATGAAACCTGCCCGTGTACCTGTCTGCCCACTGAAGCACACCACACTGTTTCATGGTGGCACAGGATCCTGAAGCAGGATCATGGACTCAGTAATTGTTGTTAGCTTCTGAGAACCTTGTGTTGAGGATGTAAAGACACCATAAACCTTTCCGCACCTTGGCATCAGAGGAAGTAAACACCTCTGCTCTCCTGCCCCCGGGGTCAGTCAAATTACCTCCCTGGGCAGGTGGGTGCTCCCCGTGCTCCCCAGACCCTGAAGTACCACCTCACTCCCTGCCTCAGGACTGGATCCAGGCACCTGCTGAAAACCTTTCTGCACCTTGGCATCAGAGGAAGTAAACATCTCCGCTCTCCTGCCCCCGGGGTCAGTCGAATTACCTCCCTGGGCAGGTAGGTGCTCCCCAGACCCTGAAGTACCACCTCACTCCCTGCCTCAGGACTGGATCCAGGCACCTGCTGACATCAGGAATAATCCCATTTTGCAGCTTGCTTCCTCACCAGAGCAGGCACCTCAGGGGCTTGGTCTCCATCAGAGCCCCCAGCTAGGAGCTGAAGCATGGCAGAAACCCCCTTTCTGAGCCTGGAAAAAGGATTCTCTTTTGTGACCTTCCTGAGACAGGCAGTCAAGGAGGTTAAGTTCAAAGTATAGAAATGGTGGGTCGCCCAGACACTGAGGAAGAGGAGTTTTTAATACCAATTTCCCCACTGGTGCACAACAGCCAGAGAGTGCTGTCCAAGGGAGATTTTAACTCACTGCCCAGTGCACCCTGACTCACCACCTACATGAAGTAGAAACACTTTCCTACCATCTGCCAGGGCTTAGGTGAGACATACTACAGGGAAAAGGTGTTTTCACTTAAAGCAGGTATCTTACATCACATGAATCAGTGATTTAAGGATAGAACTTGCATTTATATTGAACACCAAAATAAAACGAGGGACACTTGTTCTGACACAGGACCAGGCTCCAAACACAGCCCCAGATTCTAAGCTTCACTTTAACAGTAGTGTTGATTTCTCCTTCACCACTTGCTGCAGGACACTGAGTCAACCCTGCACTCTGCATCTGGTGAGAAGGCAAGTTCCCCTTTTGCCTTTCTAAGCACAAATTCATATTGGTTGCACCAAATTCAGGAAAAAACCCTCAGGTGCCTAACGCTAGGACACACCCCTGATAAGATGGCTCCACAGTTGGGTGAGAAACAGAAAGGCAAGAGCAGAGGGTTTTGCCATGTCTGCTGGCACTGCTGCAGCCAGCACAGGGCACAGCTGCAGAGCACAGCTGCAGAGCACAACGAGGCTCCACGTCTTCCACCAGTTTTTACTCTTCCATGAAGTTTAAGACATCTATCAAAGCCACACTTCTGTAAGAGCTACAGGGGATCCCAGAAATGGCCACGCTGGTGATCACCAGGACAGGCCAGAGCGAGCTCTGCAGTGTCTGGTGGTGTTGACAGCCCCAGAGCTCCCACGAGGCTCACACCGAGCTGCACTGGGGACCTGGCACTGCTGAAACCCTGCCAGCCTTCCAGGAGAAACAAATCCAGGAGGATGCCTCACACCAGGGAGTTCCTGCTTCCCTCACACAGCAAAGGGCCAGTTCTCTCTGCACAGCAGCCAAGGGTGACATTGCACGTGGCTCCAGTCAATGAAATCTGTGATAGCTAAAGGAGTGACAGGCAAGTCTTAAGCCCAGTGCAGGCCCTCCCTGGGAGCATCCATGAATAAAGATGACTTCACACCCCATTGTCATAACCACCTCATCTCAGAGAGCTTACAGCTGGCAGAAGGCACCGTTCTGTGCCATTAACCACGACTGGGGGGCCAACAGCTAACGTAAGGCCAGGACAGTCTCCTGCTGGCACTGGAAATCAGTTTGAGGAACAAGCTGTTACTAATATCTACACACAAGTTAAAAAAACCCCAACTGTTAACATCTCATTTTATTACCACAAAGACACAGACAGATGCTGACAATATGCCAGTGTACCTTCAAACCTGCAGAGCTCCATTCCCATGTTGAGGAGTGTGACATGTTTTACTGGAGCTCCCCTGAGGCTAACCAGGGGCAGATCCCCATCAACTCTGACCTTCTGTGATCAGCATCAGTAAAACCCAGGGGCACACTGCTCCTGTGTCCAGCTTTAAGGGAGGGAAGTATTTCCAAGTGCAGCTTAGGCCTATGAACCTGCATGGGACTGTTCTTGCAGTCTGGTTTCTGTAGCATGTCACCAGGAGCCCCCACCTTTGAAAGCCAAGGCAGAGAACTCAGCCCCTGCAGGGACCAGAACTACAGCACCCCTTTCTTCTGGCCATTATGCTAAAATAGATCTTAACCAAAGCAGCTTGATTTAAAAGACATCACAAATTAACCAAGTCACCCCACTGAATGTGCAGAGAATAAAACTAGTAGTAAATGCAGTCTGCAGAAGTATCTGTAGGAGTCTGGGGTTATGCCAAGTCACAGAGAAGCCTGGCTGGGCAGCTCAGGTGCAGCTGCTGCTCCATGCTCACTCCCATTCCAGTTCCTGGGATCTCCTGTCCCAGCACAGCTACACACCTGCAATGGGCAAAAATCTCAGGGTTTCTAGGTATGAACAGGGACTAGTGCAAAACTGAGTTTTCAGAGAAGGGTTTATGCCATACAGCAACTCCAGGGAAGAAAAAAGTTGGCATCAAGTGGCACTGAACACTTGAGACACTCCTTGGGCCCAACCCAGTGCACCTGAGGATACCCAGCACACTCCAAACTCCTGTCCTGGAGCAGAGAAGTTCCCCCAGCAGAAGAGGTGTGGGATGAACTGTGATTTCCCCACCATGCCAGGCAGAAAAAGAACCCATTACACTGCAATAAACACAACAGCTCGAGTCACCAATTTAATTTTATACAAGTCAAACTACACATTGTATAAAGAGTACAAGGCAGTTCTAATGTTTGCTATTGCATGTTACAAAAATCAATTTAGCTATAAAGGGGAATTTTTGGGACAAGTCCTATTCAACAATTGAAGTGAATTGGCAACTGCAGTTTAGCAAAGCCTTTAAGACTAGAACTCTAGCTCCGAGAGATTACACTTCCAATAAAGTTCAGACGTAACAGGATTATAGTTCTCCTAGTCTGAAGGAAAATATTAACATAAATGAGTCAAAAAAAAAGAGGGAAGACAGTTTTATTTACCTAGTTTTCATGTCCAATAGGTATTTAGAGGCTGACAAACCATACGACATACTAGTGACTCAGACCACAGCCAAGAGACACATCAGGTGTCTTAACAGTGACACCTGATACTCAAGCAAAAAAAAGTCAGAAAACTTTCATCAAGTCTGAAACAAAAGGATATTTGAACAATACTGTACGATACAGGCCCCAGAGTACCTTTATTACCTTTAATACCGTCACAGTATGGGGGGAATGTTCTTTTGGCAAGTTAAGATAGAACACAAATGCTCCAACTCGGGTTTATTGCTGGTCTAACCTCTTCCTAGCATCATTACCAAAGTATATAGTTTGCAGCCTGCTTCCACCAATTAAGATAAACCAAAGAATTATCTGACCTGCCCAGCAAGGCAATCCTGCCTTTGGTAGCAAGCTGGAATCTATTCAGCTCATGACACCAATAGTTTCTAAAACTATGAAAAAAATAGGAGACATGATACTTCCAAAAAGCCCAGATTTAAGCCTGTTTATATTCAGTTTCTCTTTAATATAAAACCCACTTTGCACTCAAGAGTAGTTCAAGTTACTCCTGTGGAAATGGTATAAAATCAAACTTTTAGCTGAATTTCTACAAAAGGGGGGAACTCTTCCTGCTTTGTGCCACCATCCGAGCTCACGTTGTCAAATTTGGGATACAAATTAAAACTTTTACGCCTCATCGCTTCGTTCTTAGGCCATTCCATCCTGCAAGAGAAAAACCCCAACTCCTCAAGTACTAACATAACACTAATGGCCCGACCAGTGGGAAAACGTTCCGTGATAGTGTGCAGTGGAGGAGGAGAGTTCTAGTCTTAATCTCTTGAACTGGATCTTGATCGTGAGCGGGATTTGGAGCGGGACCTGGAGCGGGACCTGGAGGCAGCTCTTTTGGGTGGCGACTCTGACCGAGCCTTGGCAGACGGCTGCTGCTGCGGGGAATTGGAACGAGACCTACTCCTTGACCTGGACTTAGACTTAGCATCTCCTTTACCATTTTCTTTGGGAGATCGAGACCTGGACCTGGACCGAGACTTCTCCGACTTCTCCTTGGATCTGCTGTGAGAGCGTGAACCCCTGTCAGACTTGGGTTTGGATTTGCTCTTTGATCTAGACTTCCTGCTTTTAGATCTGGAACGTGAGCGGTCTTTGCTCCGCGACCTGGATTTAGATCTTTCAGAAAGAGACAGAGTTTATTCTGCTTGAACTGAAGCATACTTACAGCAGTGCTGAGGGTCTGTCAGCGCCCGGCAGCTCCTGTGCTAACAGGAACAATCCACCACTTACCGTGAGCGGCTTTTGGAGATGCTACGGGACCTGCTCCTGCTGCTCCGACTCCTCCGACTCCTGCTCCTGGACCGCCGCCTGGAGCGGGACCTACAGACATGGAGAGTGTGGCATGCCCCCTGCTCTTGGCCTGCTGTGCTACCAACAGCAAACCTGCCAAAGAACTTCTCAAGGACAAGCACGGCCACACCGAGACGTACTGCTAATCCACCCAGACTCGGCCAACAAATCCCATCTGATGTTTCATCAAACAGGACTTTGCTGGATTACACAAAATAATCCCTTCCACGTTTTCAGGCAACACCCCGTTCCTAAAATACCACCTGAAGGTAACTGCTGCACGTAGGGATACCCATACCCACTCCTGGTGCAAGTAGTCCTGACGCAGAGACCGGTGTGTCCCAGGAGTTACCTTGACCTGCTGCCCGAGTAGGATCGCCTGTGGCTCGACCGTGGCCTGTCCTCAACCAGCCTGATCTTCCTGCCATTGATCTCCGTGCCATCCAGTTTGTCCAGGGCACGCTTCATGTCCGAGTAGGACCGGAACTCGATCACTCCTTCGTTTGTACGTTCTTTGTGGGCGTCTGCATAGGTTACCTCCCCAGCTTGCCTCATGAAATCCTTCAGGGAGCAGACCAAGAATTATGTCAGTCTGCAGGTACGTTCGTTCAAGACAAGTTTGAGCAAACACAGGAAGAATTCATTGCATTAAACACCCATGCACAAACACTTCTAGATTACTTCCACCTAAATAAAATTAACATCGATATGAAATGAATTTATTGTTTCCTGCTAGTCACAACAGGCTCCACGACAGAACATTAATACCTACTTTTAAATCCTGCCAACTACAGCGACTGGAAAGGTTCTCAACAATCAATCTGAACTCTGTACGAACAGGTGGTCCATATTTATCTCTTCCAGATTGTCTCCGACTGCTATATCCGCCACCACCCCCACCTTTATTGTACAAAGAAACAAAGTTAGATCGACTCCTAGCATGAGGCAAAATAAATATTCTGAAAAAGTTAGTTAAACAGTTATATTTACTGGAGTAGGACTTTATTTCTCTAAGCCTCCAATAAACTTTGCAATTTTGCCATGATCTAGATTAATGGCAAATCAAACAGACTAAAATCCTACAAGTCTGCGCTCCTAAAATCTGTTAGAGAGTGACTGCTCCTTATTAGATTCACCTTGCTAAGTTTTATTTTACAGAACATTGTAAAATATAAAACTTAACCAATTACATGCATTTCTACATTTTACAAAAACGTTTACTAGTTACACTAAGTACTTACATCACAGTATGAGGTTTTTGGTGGTGGTTTGGCCACAAAACACGCAAGGTAACAGTCACCTAGTTCAGTTTAACCAGTTTTGTCTAACCCTTGGAATCCTCACCATCACCCTGCGTCTAATGGCAAAAGGCTGCTGTCGTCATGGCTTCCGGTAAGGTCAGCCAAAGGGTCATAGGGCAAGGGTCACACAATGTATGGAAAAGCCATGGCCAATCAGGAAAGGCAGTCATCTTAGCCTCAGTGGACACAGCCTCAGCCCCACTGGTCACTTTTAAATTGAAACATCAAGGACTTGTTAAAAAGTTTGAATTGAACATGCAACAATTTTAAACAACATACATTTGATTCTTTTTTCATAAGACCGATTCCCACCCCCCCCAAAACAGCAAGCTTCTAGAGATCACCAAAAGATGAGCCTTAGTGCTTTCAGTTACAGCACTAGGCCGGTTAAGTTCTATATAGCCCAGCTCACGAAGCTACAGATTAGCCAGACAGAAATATTTACAATATCCCCCACCTCGAACAGATTACTGCTTGCAAAGCCCCCTCCCCCCCGCCCCCATTCAACTGAAACGTTTGCATTAAAAGTTTACAGTCGAGTACTTCTACCCCAATTATGCAAGGGTATTTATTTATTCATTAACGACAGTGATGCAACATCACCGTTTCATCTAAATGCTCCCAAGCAGACGGGAGCCCTTAAAATTAGCAAAGCATATCGTCTCTAACTAGAAACCCTTTCTAGAAGGCCGCAATTTTGCAGCCAGAACCGCTTCACCTATTTGCCCTCTTTAATTTCTGAGATACCTGAACGCAACGCCGGTGCAGGAGAAACGCCCGCAGCCCCAAGGCGGGGGGCGGCT